CCAGCATACACCTGGAAAAAAGTACACTTAGTGATACTTCTCAAAGTCTGAATATGTTGCAGGTAAAACTTGCCTGGTGCAGATAATTTAATGACAAATAATGTTACAATGTGCTGGTATGCAGAAAAAAGTATTTCAAGCCCTGGCAATGTACCATGCTCAGAGAATCAGAAACACACCTTTCCAAGTCTGAAGAGCCCCTTCACATTGTCTGGATGGATGGCCAGGACTGCCTCACATGACTTCTTGGCTGTGTCATAGTTCTTTGCCTATTGTTGAAAAAATGCCAATACATGAGGTGCAGGGAATCATTATAAGCCAGTACACAAATCCAGTATTTTTCTTTGTTGAAGAAATGAAAAATAAGCAATTTAGATGTGTGACAAGCTCTTAAAAAGGAAGCTTGCACCATGAAAGCACCCAATAAATTTAGCCATTGTCACTGCCCAGTTTGTAACTGTCAGCAGTGCTGTACACATGGGGAGAGGTTGAGAGAAGGTACATCCACTCCTCACAACACTTCATTATGGTGTTGAGACAACAGACAAGACATGGATATGCACATGAAACGTAAATGTCATCTTTAACTAAACAACATGGGTATTAACTACACAGGCACACTAAGCCAATCCTGGTAAATTGGACCTTTGGGTGGTCAGCTCTTCAGAACTGGTTCCAACACATTGCAACTAGCCACCAAAAGTGTTTCTATATTTCTAGACACTCTAGTCTCATACCTTGAGCTGAGCAGCAGCCATGTTGTTATAACTCTTCAGTCTGATGTCATCCATCTGTTTTACTATCTCACTGTCTGTCTATGAAATTTAAAGAAAGCAGAGAAAAATTCAATGTGAGTCAGAAATAAAAGTACATGGGATTCAATCAATCTTCAAGAGTGGCTGACACAATTATTATTTATTACAGAAAATTCTATTGTTTCCTGAACCTTGCCTTGAACTTAACATTTATAGATCAAGGCATCCAATGCAATTTCAGGGACTTTCAACTTCAAGGTCGATTTTCTGGTCATTCTTTTAATGTAGTAAGTTGAATCAATCCTATTCCATAGCATACTGATATCTGTGAGGCAAAAATGCAATGCTGCTGATGGAAAACGGTTGGTTATTTTGTGTCGTAGTCTGGTTCTTGGGCAAGACACCTCGCGTAGCTTGTTTGTGGGCTATTTCAAATGCTTCAATTATGAAATGATGATGAAGATGTGCTAAGAAATGGCAGCAAATGTCAATATCAGATAAATTTCCTCATCCACAATAGTTTTGTTTTACCTTTCTGAAATTGCATTGGGTGCGTTAATCAATAGCTACAATGACACTATTCTGTCTGTCACAGACAACACTGTCACAAATTAGAATATATTTTGCTCTTAAAATGTATTAACATGTTCTACCTCGGGTTTCTCCTTGGATGGTGATTCAAGTATCTTCACAGCCCTGCAAAAAAAGACAAGAGAAAACCTGTTTTGCCATGAAGTTTTAATTTTAGGAATATCTATAAAATACATTATGCAGTATAGTCACTTTGAAAAAATAGTGCAACCTTCATATGTTTGAAAACTGTAATATCTCTAAATGTATTATTTATTGTTGAGGGAGAGCTACAAGTACATGTATACAAATACACAATATATCTAACCCAGACCCAACTTACTGTTCATAACAGTGACATGCCAGCATGTAGTCATTGCGGCTATACCACCAGTTCCCTCTTTCTCTCTTTTTATCCCTGAGGAAAGGGCAGTTTGTCACATAATGTACATATGTAGTGTGTAATACTATATAGAATACAACAAGATGTGTTCTGTATCACCAGAGGTACCAGCCTGGCCACATAGATCGCCCGATGCTGCAAGGCATGATCTGATAGGGGAGAAAACACGCCTTTCAAAACAAAATGAGCCAAAATTTGGTATCCCTAAACAAAAAAAATGCAATGACATCCATTCCAACGGCTGAATCCGTTGTTCAAATTTTTGAACCTGGTGCACATAGCTCACACCTTCAAATTCTTGTATGGTACATTTGGAAGCCCGTGTGGACTGTGATAACCAAATAGAACCCCGGGCTGTACCGCTAGTTATCACACAGGCCGGAACACTTGTATCAAACGTTATCACAGCCCTAAGGTATGACATAAAACATAATACAGTCAGCATGTCTTTCTTTTGACATTAACTGTTGAGTAGCTTCTACAGTCCAACCTTTGCAAAAATATTCTACATGTAGAAGATAGTCCAATTTATAGACGTGATTAAATAATTTATTAGATCAAGTCAACCCTAGATGACATGCTTTTGCAAAGATTAAGTTGCATTTACAAAAAACAACTATATTTTTAGGGCAGCATTGTATTTTGTTGTTACCCAAGTTTGCACTTGTCTTCTGCACTCATAGTGAAGAGGTCCGGCTTGTTTTCTGCATTCAGCAGCTGCAACTCATAAGTGATGGTAGCATTTTCTGGAATGTCTGGTTCTCTGCAATAAAATAAGGGAAACATGTAACATGGCTGACAAGTTTCCACAAATACATGTAGTTTCATCAGGTTGGTAGACCATAGGATATAAGGGTATCTATCAAAAGAAAACCCCTACTAGTATATCCTTGAGGCTAACATATATACATTGCTTATCACATTGTTTGTTTGGGGTAGGCCCTTTGAAAAACCACCTAGGTTTCTGGCCTACCCCACATATTCTCTGAATGTTATTATTTGATTATGAATTTTTTTAATACATGTGCAAATAATAAATAAACAAATAAACAAACAAAACATTTTCTTGTTTCTTTTTGTCTGGAAAAGCAGTAAATGTGGTTACAATGACAAAGAACTACACTTTGATTTAGTAGTACAATGTAGATACAATCATCAAATAACGATAAATAGCATCAGGTTTCGTAAATGATATTGCCTTGCTGGCACTTAGCCTTGATTAATCTCATATTGAAAGTTTTCTAATTTCTTGATAATACCCCAATGTTCTTACCTTCCAAGAGCTCCATATGCATACAGGGCATCTACAATTACTTCACACGTCTCTCCCATGCCCATAAGTGACACACAGAGATCCCAGGCTATGAAACAGGAGAAGAAAACACTTTGGTCAGGACCGAGAATATAATTACTAGTAACATTGTTGCTGTTAACTTTGTCTATAGCTCATCTGGTGTACCTGGTGAATACAGTCATAAATTCATAGCAGCGTTTTAGTGTCTGTGCTTAATATTTCATACAGGTACCCACATACCAAATATCATCACAATCCATAAAGGCCTTCTTAAGTTATGCTGACCACAAGCTTAAGTATGCAGAAACACACACACACATAAGCACACACACAAACACAGTCAGTCCAAAAACAATTTTGCTATAGAGCTAATAAATTAAAGGTAACATAAATGCATTATGCTTACCTTTGCATATGGTCAGTGCTCTGTTAATTCTTACTCAAACACATTTCATATATTTGGTGACCATGCAACCCCTCTTGAACTCAGTTCTGCATCTAAATCCCTCCTGCTTATAAATTGCAACATGATGTAACCAAACACCAGTTACCATGGTGACAGATGTCTGGTTCAGGTCATTGACCTTATTTGTTTGGATAAGAACAAGAGGAAACAGAGCAAACTAACAGAAGGAAAACATGAATATTTGACCTTGCAATATCAAACTGTTAGTAATAGCTCAACATATTCTATACCTTGGATGACATCTCCCTCCTGCAGTCCAAAAGTGATCTCGTCATGCTGGTCCACCGTCGTGCCATCCTCTAACCTCCCCCTGCTCCAGATGGTCACCTCCTGACCTGGGCGGGGCCGGGTGCTCTCATCCCCTCCCTTCACTATCACCTACATGTAAGGGACAGGTGCACTTATTAGTCATTAGATAGCTTTAAACAATGTTTAGAGTTAGATGTTCAAAGGTTAGGTGTGACAAGTCGTTCGGTGTAATGTAGCCAGATGCCGCCGCGCCGCGTGCAAAGCTGGTGTGTTATGCCGAAGTATACAGATAAAGACACAGATACAGATTATTAGTAGTGGACACTAGGGCCCCATGGGCCACAGCTCTACTGGAGAGGGGTACATGATAATCGATTGATCAAGGACATTATAGTTATACGACTTCCTTAGATTGACATTAATATTAATAAATCTGCAACACACACGCACAAATAGGAACAAATTATAACAACTTCTATGAACTTCAAGCTTGCCATTCTGTCCACACTTTGGAATCAACAGGTGGCTGAACATCTAATGTTACTAGTAAACTTGTTGCGATTGCCACGACAGAAAATCAAAACAACAGCCACAACTGAACTAAGCCGTTTTCTTTTCTATACAATAATACGTTAAATGAGATTTAAACCCTCTGGAATTTGGTAATGAAACTAAAGAATTCACCTTTTTCTTCAGTTTTCCATTGCCCAAAATGTCCAACCATTCTGGGTCAGTCTCCTCATCTGCATCTTTTCCATCTTCTTCCTCCTCCTTACCAACATCCCAGGGTTCGTCAGCAGGGGACTGGCTAGTAGCGTTCAACGCGTTTTCTGTAATAGAATCGCCTTGGCCCTCTTCTAGTACCTTCCCACTTCTAGTAGTAGTACTGCCATCTTCAAGAGGACTCTGCTTGCTAAAGGCGTTGTGCACATTCCCTACTATGTCTGTGTCTTGATTAAGTCCTTCCTCCGTTGGTAGTGTTGGCGGAAGATCCTCCACTCTCTCTTTTTCCATGGCAGCGTCTCTCTGTAACGTTAACCAGTCGTGAAGGCCGTTCGATTCAGGTGTTTATTTTCTCCAGTCACGTCCTCACGTGGTAATTTTTCACGTCCCGCGGGTTGCTGTCGTCGCACAGTGACGCCAAATCACACGTCAGATTCCCCGCGCCTGTTATACCTCGGCCTTGGGAATGTGTAGCAGCAAATTGGCTCTTGATGGGATGTAGGACATGAGATATTTTGGAGATAAAAAAGATCTATTTAGCCCGGAAGTCCCGAACGCAACGATTTTATCAAGCTGAGGTATGGTAAGGGTCAAAAGACAGGTCCATTCTATAGCATAGGGGAAGAACTCACTCATTGTACTACACAAGGGGAAGAACTATGTAAAATAATTATTAGCCCTCTAAGAAAGAAAACGGTGCAAAATAGATATTTACATATAAATTCTGCTATAAAAATCTCTTTTCGGCACGTATATTGATAGCTAACACAACTCGTGTCATCAGAAATGAATCACCCCTGCGATGAGAAAGGACTCGCCCGGTCCCGTCAGTCATAGTAAAGTTGACAACATGGCGCGGACGTGGTGCTGGAAAATTCTGCTCCGTGCAGTTGTGGTCGCCTCTATCGCGCTCTCCCTCGTCCAGGGGCAGGGTCTGGACGACGAGTACAAACATCTCTACGACAGGCACATGTTCGAGGAGGCCATAAAGGCCGCGCCGCATTTTATCATGTTTTTCGCGCCATGGTGAGTTTTGAATGTTGAGGGTGGATGCGTGGCTTAGAACAGGGGGAGTGGCGCGTCTTATGATATTGAGTTTAATAATTTGCAATCTTTCCAAGCAATAGGTTTATAAAGCTTAGCTTCTTAACAACGCTTTATGTAGAAAAATCCATCTCAGATTTGTAATTTAGCTGATGTAAACCACACCCGGACTCTATAGGACCGGCCTTTTTAGTGCCCAAGCAAATAGGTAAGCGCCACGTAGCAAAACAGATCGATTAAAAAAAGTTCTGATCACTTCCGGGTGTTGTAACGGTCGCAGTCCGGGTTATAGCAACTGAGTTTGACGTGATTTGTGAGGAAAAATTTCACTGAACGGAAAATGTAGCTTGCTTTTTAAATGCCACGTATCCACTCGACATTGTCTTCTGTGCTTTTGTGTTTAGGATGAATAAAAGAATCGATTATTTGTAACGTTACAGTTGAGAAAAGGTGTAGCAACTGTGAGCATGTTAGCCCTAAGGGCATGAGTAAGCAAATTCACTTGTTAATGGTTTGAATGCTTTTGCCCTGTGAGCATGCAAAATTATTTAACATAAGGCCTAGGAAAAAATGTTGTGTTTCCAGTTTCTAAACAGACCCTAGCAAAAACCCCACGGGGGGGGGGGGTACTTTTCAGTCAAATTGTCTGAAAATGATTTATGTATTTTCAGAAATATTTGTCCCGAAAACACGGTGAAACTGAAACACAACATTAATTTTCCTAGGCTGGGGGAGATCAAACAGTTGGTAAAAAACCTTTTTTTCTGGAGGCTGGGTTCATCTTTCAATGGTCAAGAGTTATGTTTTGATAATTATGGTTAATTCGAAGTGTTATACAGATATACAATGCATGTGTGCTGTCTACAGTCCTGTACGGGTCTGAGACGTGGCAAATGACCTCCAATCAGGAAAAACGGCTGGACGTTGCGGATCAGAGATGGCTTCGGGCCATATTAAAAGTCAGGTGGCAACAACACACTAGCAATGACGAGATCAGGCGTAGGACAGGTCAGCCAAAGCTCTCTAAACTAGTACAAAGAGCAAGGCTGAGGTGGCTAGGCCACGTTTCTAGAATGCCAAGGCAAAGACTGCCAAAAGTGGTGTTAACGTGGTGTCCACAAGGAAAAAGGAAGAGGGGCGGTCAGAGTATGACGTGGAGAAAAACAGTGGAAAGAGACCTTGCAGTGATGGGTTGCGAATGGGAGGGGGCGCAACGAGCAGCACAAGACAGAGGAAGATGGAAAGCAATGATGGCCCGCCTCAGCAGTAGCTGATATGCGGTGGAGCGCGGCGGCGGCGCGGAAGTGTTATTCTACAGTCCCCAAGACTATAGCCGAGTAGTAGTATACAGGATAGGTGAAATCAGGTTCTATGCTGCATTGTATTGAATAAATCATGGAGATCCTTATTCTTAACAAGTTTTCTATTGTCTGTATTGACAGGTGTGGCCACTGTAAGAAGGCAATGCCCGTCTTTGATGAGCTGGCAGACAAGTACAACTTACAGATGGATCCAAGGCCTCCTCTCTACCTGGCAAAGGTATCATCTATAGTCATGGTTGGAAGAACGTACTACGCCTGCACAAAACCCCCTTTTTTCACGGTTTTCATTGGATTTTCGGTTAACGTTGCATCATAATTTTGCCTGTTGCAAACAATATTTTTTTGTACGTTTGATATTTGGAAACTACATCTACGGGGTGTTAACCTTTATGCGTGAATACAACCTTATATGAGACATTCTGCCGAAGTGCTATGCACAATATACTAGTATTACGGGTTTCGCACGGGTGCAGAACATTCTGCCGACGTGCTTGTTTGGAACAATGCAGAAAATTACCTGAGGCTTAGGAAAATTAATGTTGTGTTTCCGGTTTCCATCATGAAAAACTACTGGTAGTGTTGGCAGGTAGCTAGGGATAAATTTCTTTTCTTTTAAGCTTTTGGCTTAAAGATGATGCAACAAATAATATCACAAGGACACCTGTTTGCTTGTGGAAAAATATTTTACCCAATTTATTACTGATGATAAGAAATTGCTTCTGGAAAATAGGGTTTGAACTTCAGGTGTTGGATCAAAATTTTTATAGTCTGACCAGGTCAATCAAAAAAGGGCTAGATTTGACAGGTTTTTGCTAGGGTCGGTCGTCGGGAAACTGGAAACAATTTTTTTTCCTAGGCCTGACTCAGTCTATTATGGGGACCATTGCATAGTTTTCATTCTGCCACCAATGACAGTGTGTGTATCTTATATTTATGCATACGTGGCGTATGTTTGGTATTTATAGTAGTAGTACAAATGTATTAGTATCCTGGTCATGATATCAGGTTTCAAGTTATTTTTATACTGAATGCACATGTGTATAGAAATGGTTGATGAATAAGTAAAGTGGAACATCTATAAGCACAAGTATGGTAATATAGAAACAATGAATTTTGAAAATTTTGCAGATTGTTCCCGGATCCCATATACAATGTATTGAATTGAAAAATTGTAATTTAAGAGATGACAAGTCTTGGGGTATGTTTTGCGTCCCATCTAAACTTCACTTTACGGAGTACTTTGAAGATGTAGTTTGTATATTTTCAGGTGGACTGTACAAAAGAAATTGCCTTATGTGATGAGCACGGAGCCACAGGATACCCAACGTGAGACATTTTTTCCTGCATTTTCTGTTGTTGAAAACTTTGGTAGGTGTGCAGAACGTAAACAAACGTGGCTGTGTCTCCAGCTTTTAAACACATATTTTGGCACCTCCACTTCCTGAATGGCACTTATTTACATTTGGAGTAAGGTTGATTCAACTTAATTTAAGTAAAGAAATGACCAGAAAATTTACTTCTTGTTAGTATCTTTCTAATGTTACATAATGCAGCTGTAAATCTGAAGTGTTGTGCGTAGAATGAACAGAAGTTGTCTCTTCCTCCAGCTTCAAGATGTACAGACCTGGCCAAGAAGTTGAACGGTACAAGGGAGACAGGACAGCCAAGGCATTTGAGGACTACTTCACTCAAATGACAGCAGAAGTGGCAAAGGTAACTTTAACAGATCTCTTCAGCCTTTAAACAATACTTGTATAATATGGATTAAATTTTCTATGTGCTGGGAGGCACATTTTCTACCAAGCATTTTTTACCAAGTATTATCACGTAGTAGGAGATTTTTTTACAGACTCAGTGACAGGGGTTCCACAAGGCACCTTCCTTGGACTCGCTATTCTAGAGGGCCAAAAATGATGCCTTGAGGAACCCTATTTTTTTCCTACAATGTATGTCTTACTTTTGTCCAAAACATATATTCACTACGTACATTGTAAGTGCAATTAATTTTGATATGATGGATTAAAGTTTGTCTTTAACCATTGCAATTTTTTTCTTTTTGTGCACCTCAGCCTGTTCCACCTGAACCAAAACATGGTCTGTACAGTTTGGAAGCCTCCAACTTTCAGGACCACGTTGCAAAGGGTCTTCACTTCGTCAAGTTCTATGCGCCCTGGTGTGGACACTGCAAAAGGCTGGCACCGACATGGGACGAGCTAGCTACAACATTTGAACATGAGGAACATCTCACCATTGCTAAGGTATTTACTTGTTATATCTTTTTTCACTTGCAGTTTTGCAGTTAAAAGTTTCATGTACATGTACTACCATTTAGCACTTAGTTTAGAATCCATGTTGTGTATGTTTTATTTTTGCTCACATGGCATTATTTTTCCAGGTTGACTGCACACTGTACAACTCAGTATGCCAGGACTATGATGTGAGGGGATACCCAACTCTTCTGCTCTTCAGGGATGGAGATATGGTAGGTTTTTTTCTGATGGTAGCATGTGTTTTAGTATGTGGCTTAAGCCATTCAATACTTCGAAAATTCATAAGTCTTTAAACTTACAGTGTGAAGGTACTGTGAATAGTAGATATTATCATACTGTCACTTTTCCTCTGTTATTTGTATGGTTAGAAGCATTCAAACTTGTCTTTTGTCATCCTAAACTGAGGTGAAGCATGATGCTTTTTTTCAACAATCAAACTTCATGCACAATGTTCACTCACACACACACTGTGTTCTCCATGTTTAGCTGGAGAAGTACAGTGGGGGACGTGGCCATGCAGAGCTGAAGACCTACGTGTCCTCCAAGTTGGAAGAGTCCAACAGGCTTTGGGAAAAGGAGGCCTCGAAACCAAAGGAGACAGTCAAGATCCAGAAAAGTGGGGAAGGACCGAAGGAGCCTCAGGGAGAAGTCCCAGCTGAACCAGAGGTGAGGGCGCGCATTGGCAGAATGCACTGCACCTGCGCAAAACATGGAATATATCATGTATAGCACTTTGGCAGAACGTCTCGTTTAAGAACAATATGGTATTGTCTGCAATATGAATGAGAAAACATCCAATGTAAATAGTAAAAAATCTGATTTTTCTGCAGAATTTCCTTCATATGACCAGGTAAAGGCACTGTTTAGAAATATTCCCATATTTTCATCACTCTGCCATTTTGAATATTTTGATCCTTTTCCACTCAAATGAGCTGCTTCAAGTTATTATGCATATTTTTAAAATGCTTCTGTAGTCTTTTTGTTTCATGGCTGTTTCTATTTCCTTTTGGTGATGCATCAAACTTTAAAGTATTGTTGTTTGTTTATGACATAAAGACATCCGCAAATAAAATATAAGTGATTGAATTTATTGATAAATTATGTTCTGGTTCCTGGTGGAACTGCCTACCCATGCTTATGTTTTGTCATGTTATTTTCATGTTTAGTAAAGAACCATTCTTTCTTTTTCAGAGCAAAGTACAAGCCTTAGATTCTGACACGTTCAACGCAGAGGTCAGCAAAGGGATCACTTTTGTTAAGTTCTATGCACCATGGTGAGTGTATACTAAGACACTATATTACTCAGACTGACTCATTTTATTAGCCTCATTTTTACATTTCTATCTAAAGCCCCTGTCACACATTCAAAGCCTCCCCCTGTTGGCTGACATTTGGGAGCAGTCTGACCAGATTTAGGCCCACCTACCTTTTGATACAAATCAAATGAAATTTGAGTAAAATTTGACCTCCAACCATGGCCAGAACTACTCCGGAACACCTGCCAACCTTGGCCGAACCTCACATCTACTCAGCAAATGTTTGAAACATTTTGAAACATTCAGCTGGCGCAGCCGAACAGTAGCCGATCTGACCGAACACCAGCTGACCTTGCTCCTGACCTTCTCCTAGCAGGTAGGAGTTCGGCTAGTGTTTGGGAACCCATATTGGGCTATGTGTAACTCTAGACCTGCAATGTTTTCTCCCAGGTGTGGCCACTGCAAGCGGCTGGCCCCCACGTGGGACGCCCTGTCTCACAAGTTCCCTGACCAGCCTCATGTGAAGATCGCTAAGGTTGACTGTACCACAGCAGGGAACAAGGAACTCTGTCAGGACCACAAGGTGGGCTGGCAGTTGTGTCTAGGAAGAGTCATAACTTATTTATTTATTTATTTCTGTTTACTTTTAACAGGGTGAATGCTCCATACTAAATGCATTGCTTTTCAGGTGTGCCTTGTACATAAAGAGAATAACACAAACAAATTTTGAAAGAAAACGGAACTCAACACATACAAAATGTAATAATTACTATTGCTAACAACAATTACTGATGACTAACCACTGTTCTAGCCAGTCGTTTTCTGTCATCTTGTTTGACGTAGCATCATGTCAAGTGCCAAAGGAAAATTCTCCCCTGGGAAAATTTTTAAACCTTGGCTGTCTGCCCTCTGAAATCCTATTTCCTGCCTGTTGAGGGGCAAATTTTGCTGGTAGACTAGTACTGAAGCTTACATTAACATTTCTTTCTATATGCTGATTTTTGTCCATCAAAGATGACAGATTGGACAAAAATAATGGCAAGACGGATGCTGGCTGGAGCACTGGTCATAATTATTGATGATTACTTTTATTTAGTATTTCTTCTAGAGGTGCTCCAGGACTGTAATATTCTAGTTTAGAGAGCCAAATGTGTAGATTAAGTCACCACACTTCTTCTATCCTTCACCATACATGTAGATACGAGGGTACCCTACACTCATTCTGTTTCGAAGCGAAGCTGGCAAGCAGGAACAGTATTCGGGGCCCAGAGACCTCACTGCACTACACTCTTTTGTACGGAGGGCCTTACATGATGAACTGTGAGGGCGGGATGTCACACACAGTTTGCTTTTCCGTTGCGCCCAGGTTTTTTATTTCTGTTCAGTTTACATGTACCAGGGTGAAATGTGTTGAAGGTTTCCTGCTCGATTACAGTCAAACTTGTCAAAGACGACCGCCCGATAAGCATGGTGACAAGATGACAAAAAAACTGCAGCAAAATTCCCTCCATTTTACAATAGACTGCCCCATTGACCCAAAGTGACCCAGCTGGCGCCATTTTACACTGCGCAAAGACTGTCATGCTGTCCAAATCAATGGTAAACTGGCTAATTCCAGATTTCGCACTAGTTATCATTAAAAAAAAACATTTTCAGCCACACGCTTCAAAAATGATGCACTCATCATATTCAAAGATTGGACCATGTGCGGTCCCAAATTTGTTTGCAGTCACATAGGACAAGTGGCCAGCTTAGGCAAGTCCCTTAATGCTTACATATGTCTAAGGAGGAAAAAAACTGGGACCAACAAAAAGCAATCATTATGGCCAGATGGCCGGCTTATCGCTTGGGCAAGTTTGACTGTACCTCTAATATATGGTGAACATCAGTGGAGGTGACGGAGATGACTTTCCTATTATATCAAAATGTACTTAAACCCTTGTTCCACTTCTGTATGTTTGTTACATAGGTGACAGGCTACCCTACACTGATCCTGTTTAAGAATGGAGCCAGGATAGCAGACTACAACGGTGCCAGGACTGTGGAGTCCCTACATTCCTACGTCGTGGAAAAGACACACGACGAGCTTTGATGCCAACCGGAAATAGGAACCAATTTTTTCAGCAGAAATATTTTTGAAACCTACATTTTTGCTCTAGTTTGGACCAATTTTTTGTCTTTTTAGAACACTTTATTTATAGTAACTCACTGTATTTTAGTTATACGCTTATTGTACGATTGTACACACTCTCTTTCCCAAGTTGTATCCGGAGCTGAATGTTTTCCCATTTTGCTCATTACCTGCTATGCAAGTGATAAAATTAACCTGATGCAGGAAAGCACGCAGTCTGAACATATTAATCATAAAATATTATGATCATAAAATCTGTATGGAATAGGGTGTATGGAGATTTTATTGTCAATGAGATTGTGCAATAAGAGGTCAACAGATATATAGAATGATATGAAGAGTATTGATTTTATTGATACCTATGATATAAATATCACTCTGTTTGATATTCTAGAAGCACACCACGTTATGTTTAGTACATAGTTTTTGTTTTTCCTCTTTGGATTTGCAACTTAGACTTTTCAAAGTTTCTCAAAACAGATTGTAGTCAGTACATTTTGCAAAATGGTAATGTGTCAATTCCTTTTGTAACTTGTGAAGAAAATTATATTAAAACATTTCGATAAACTTGTGCCTTTCTTCTGTGTATTTCTTGTTTCCGTAAACAATTATTGGTATCGTCATTAGAAGTTGATGAGAACTTTTCATTATGAAATATTCAACAAACTCATATGGCATGTTTGGTTACCAAACATGTGGGCTCCTTTCATTGGTTGCCTCGATCAAAATGATTAAATCTTAATGAAAGCTGTGCTCCATAAACAGTATATACTGAGTAGAACAGTGCACGCTTTTAAGCAAATACTACATATAGCAGAGGTTTAGGCTTCAGCTTTTTTTGTTGACGTGTTTTCATCGGGCTTTCTTTTTTGGACTGGTACCTTGTTTTACACCAGTCAAATGGTAACTGCCTGGCCAATGGATACTGCCTGGCCAGTTTGATACAGCTTTTTGCAGCCACCAAAAGATCTGCTTGGAGATTAAGCAAAATATGGACCAATGGAAGACTGTGTACCTGTACATGATTCTTGTTACTGTCACCTGTACATGTGTGGTGACACCAGGGACACAGGGTCAGGAACTACAGTACAGACACCTGCTCCCACGTCCCTGGTACTACAGGCACAACTTTGAGGAAGCCATGCAGATGACACCACACTTTATCATGTTTTTCACACCAGAGTGAGTAATGTATGATGTATATGTAACATACTAGTGAAAAATTGTTCTCCAACCTTAAGAAATTTGACTCAAGGAATTTTCGACCAAATACCTCAACTATCTGACCTAAGTGCTGCTCGAGTCAAATTTCTTTGGCTTTCTTCGAGAACAGTTTAATTTTTCACTATGTAATGTATATAAACTTATTGAAACCGAAACTGGTTTGGAGGGACATGAACTTTTCTCAGTGATGTATGACAGACAGTTGTGGCGAACTAACTTTGTATGCTCCACCTCTACGGAGGATGAATGATGATGATGATGAATGTATCAGCTCAGATTAACTTTCTTGCTGATGTACATCAGCAAAAATGTTCCTTTCAAGGCAAAATCTCCAACTTTTAGCACAAAGAGAGAAGTGCAGTGACAGTTTCTATCTTCACAAGTTGGTTCTTAATTTAAATTCTGTGGACAAAGGATGACAGAAACGTAGTTAGTGCAATACTGTACATACAGGTCTAACACTTGTAACTTGTTAACTGAAATTCCCTAGCAGATGTGAGCAGTGTAAGGCCATGATGCTAAACTTTGATGAGGTCGCAGACAAGTACAACACAATGAAAACACCTCAAGTTATACTGGCTAAGGTATGTGTTAAATAAATCCCAAAACATGGCACGTATAATAAGCTTTATAAAATTAAATATGAATGTTACACCTGAGGTCATGCCTTTTAATAACTTCAGAATTAGTAAAATCAAAAAGTAGGTCACTTTGTGCCATTGTACAGGTTTAAAATGTATTTAACTGGTACAATGTAGTGAGCACTTGCCAATGATAGCTGAAGACAGCTTTAGTACCCCCCCTCCCCTTTCAGTGATACCCCAGTAGGGGTTTTTCGAGAGTATTAAGAAGAAGAAGAAGACTTAGTACAAAATTCATTGCTCAAAATAACTATGTCTTCTTTATTCTAGGTGGACTGTAGTGCAGAAGTAGCCATTTGTGAGAAGCAGGGAATTCGTATATTCCCAACGTATGTTGCAAAGTTTTAAATTTATTTGCCCGGTAATGTACCTAAAATTAGCATGTCAAAACATCAATTGTTTTAAGTTGAAACACAAACTTTAGGTTGTTTTGACTCTGTGTTGCTTTGCCCTAATGATAGTATTACATAATATTTCCTTGATGAAGGTAGAAACAATTGACACAACATTTCTAGTTGGTCATGATTGCAAGTATGCAATGTTTTGTTTTCTGCAACAGTTTCAAACTGTACCGGCATGGAGCAGCCACCCACCGCTACAATGGAGAGAGGACTGTGGAAGCTTTCAGGAGCTACATCTCAAGCATGGTGCCTCCTACGGTAGTCCTCTTTTACAGTTACATTCATTGCACGTTAATTACAGCGTGTACAGCAGAAATTTCAAATTTGTCTTAAGATATTGAGTGAAAGATGCTTACTACGTTTATGCTCTTACAAGCCAAGTACAGGTCACAACTAAAGCAGAAGTAAAAATCAGTTATAATATCTTACTGCAAGTAAACTGACTTCATGCAAAATTACTGGCCGAGAGAGCTTTCCAATGATTCCAAGTTTGCACAGTTTTGTGCGATTTTGCCAAGGGGTTAGGGTTTATGGCATGGGGGTGGGGTGCCTGTCCTTGGTTCTGAACACCATCCAAACAGGCACGCCTGTCCTTGGTGCTAAACACCATCCACACAGGCAGGCCTGTCCTTGGTGCTGAACGCCATTCAAACAGGCACGCCTGTCCTTGGTGCTGAACGCCATTCAAACAGGCACGACTGTCCTTGGTGCTGAACACCATCCAAACAGGCATGCCTGTCCTTGGTGCTAAACACCATCCACACACAAACACACCTGTCCTTGGTTCTGAATGCCAACCAAACAGGCACGCCTGTCCTTGGTGCTGAACGCCATTTAAACAGGCACACCTGTCCTTGGTGCTGAACACTATCCAAACAGGCACACCTGTCCTTGGTGCTGAACATCATCCAAACAGGCACACCTTTCCTTGGTGCTGAACACCATCCAAACAAGCACACCTGTCCTTGGTGCTGAACACCATCCAAACAGGCATGCCTGTCCTTGGTGTTCAACACCTACCACACACAAACACACCTGTCCTTGGTGCTGAACACATTGTTTAACACATTGCATATTTGATATGTTTTATGTATTACACATTTACAAAACATACATGTACCAAGAAGAAAACTGCCCCTGAAGTTGAGGGAACTGTGTACAGACTGACACCAGTAAACTTCACCCGGCACATCCAAGGTGGTCTTCACTTTGTGGAGTTCTTTGCACCATGGTGTGGGCACTGTAAGAAACTCGCACCAACATGGGCGAAACTGGCTCACTCATTTAGTCAGGAAAAACACCTAACCATTGCACAGGTAAATGTCGTACATTATATGCTCTTCAGGAGGACTTTTAGTCTAGGTTTAGTATAATAATAAACGTCATCTCGGATCTAAGATTTAATACTCGAATAGTTCACAAATGCAAATACTCTTCACAGAATTTGTATGTAAGAAAAGAAACTGTATCACGATATCAGGGATGGTGTAATGTTTAATATCAGGTTTTACTTCTAAGGTAAACTTCACACTTTATAAAAAATAATCATAAACTGTTTTCCCCTAGGTTGACTGTGTTGAGTACAATGTGCTGTGTAAGAAGTATGGCGTGGACGGATTCCCAACTCTTATACTCTTTAGGGATGGAAAAGAAGTAAGTGTATAATATACATGTAATTCTCCACAAAGACTAAACGTTTTAGAAATAAATGAACACAATGAACAATGGCAATTACATATTTTAAATGACAGTCTGTAATTCCTTGAACACTACAAAATTCATAGTATTTTTACTATACTTTCTGTACAATGTATTGTGATTGTGAATGATGATAAAGTTTAGATAAAAAAAAATTATCTCCACATTCACAATTATCATCATAGTAGCATACCGATACTAACTATGAGTTCTGATAATTATTCATTAGGTGGACAAGCGGCTAGGCGTCACTGAACAGAGCCATGCAGACTTGGAGAGTTATTTATCAGGGAAACTGGAGGAAACCATCAGGTATTGGGACATGAGTGGGCTGGAACCAGGAAACCCAGCAGGAGAAAAACCTAAAGTGGAGGTAGTAACCACAGAGGATGATATTAGCATCTCATTTTACCTTCATATCCATAACCATATCATAACCATCCATTCATTCATTCATTAGCATGAGTCATTTGACCTTGAAGTTCATATCCATACCTGCATTGATATCAATTTCTTTGTCACTGTGACGTAGGCTGTCTAATTTAATCTAATTAATTTGCTGGGAAATTACATGTACATAAAATAACTTCATTGAAAAGAAAAGGAAAAAGAGCACCCAGAGGACCGATAATCACCTATTAAATATTGTAACAGTTATAAGTTAAACGTTAACATGTGCACTACGTTCCACTCTTAGACTAAAGTGGTGACCCTGACCAAAGACAATTTCCACTCTGAGATCAGGAAGGGGATGACTTTTGTTCAGTTCTACGCTCCTTGGTAAGTGCAGTGATTGTGACTGTCATAATTGTACTTGAATGTGTGATTGATACTTACTATGATGGTTGACTGGAGTACAAAATAATGTATGCTACATATAATGAAACATTCTATCCAGGTGTGACCACTGCAGGACGTTACTCCCTGCCTGGGACGCGCTGTCCTTCAAGTTTCCCAACCGTCCTCACATCAAGATTGCCAAGATGGACTGTACAGCACAGGGGAACAGCAAGACTTGTCAGGACCAGAAGGTTGGCAGTGATTACGTTTCAACTACGTTTCAGTGATTGTTTTACCTAGACTTACATGTCAGGGCTCAAAATATTGGGTACATATGCACCTTAAAGATGTTGTGGTGGCTATAAGTTAGTGCAGGTTTTTCTGATGTCTACCTGCACATAACCTGCACTTGTCCATGTACTAGGTTTATACATACATGTACGTTGTAGGTGTATGTGGATTTTAATTTTCTGCATTGACTGTTACATATGTAGGTGTATGAACTATATTTTATAAGAAATATGGTAACTAGTTTTTAGTGTGATCTATACTTCATAAAGTCTGGAATATGCAGTTAGTTTTTGAATGTTACCTGCACCAGTACTGGTAGCAGGTATGCAGAAAAAAGGATTTCAAACCCTTATAGTTGATATTATGTTGACTAGTGCAGTCATAAAGTTCAACTTCAATTGTTACACAACTGTTCCATACAAAAAGAAGTTTCCATCTTTCTTTGTTCTCCAGATAGCGGACTACCCCACACTCATCCTGTTTAAGAATGGGAGGCACATAGGGGAGTTCGGCGGGGACGAGACTTTTGAATGGACGGTGGAATCCATGCACAACTTCGTAGCAACAAGTCTACATATTCATGATGACTTGTGAAGCATAGACGGGTGTTGCAGGAATCAATGACAAAATCATAACTACAGTAGGTTTAAAAAATTACCTTTTGTCGTTGAATAAATAGAGTCTGTTTTACGTAACCAAGACTAGACAAGTGTTTTATTCAGCCGGTATTTCAATATGACCTTCCTCAGGGTGATTCTTGTAACTGTATTATATATTAAATACTTTGTATTTGGGAACACATCTATTATCAGCATCACCTGTGATGTGCAATGTAAACCAGTCAGAATTGCCCTGAATAGGGTGATACACGGTCACCAAAACATTAATTGCCTGAATAAAACACTTGGTTGTGTAAAAAGTTGTGTAAAAAAAAAGATTTGTTTTATTCGCTGACTTACATGTAAGCCTAAAGAAACTATCCACAGGTATCTTCAAATTTGTTTTTATTACCATGATTTTTTTCTGTCTTATCTGTTATTATAACAAAGTTGAATAATACATGTAGGACATCATAAGGCCACAAGAATGTTACACCATAAACATGACAGCAACAAATGGTTAGAACCTGACTCAGGTGCCGTCTCCATGATTTCAAAACTTTTCCTACGAACAGTGTAATGTTACATGAACTAGCTCATCTTTGGCACTTAAGGTCACAATAACAATCAATGACATGTATGATATGCCACTTGTAGGCAATACTATCAATTGTAAGCAAATATTTAACACATCTGTCCATTTAATCCAGATACTGTACTTGAAAACGGTGCATGATGATCAATCATTTTTGCAGACAGGGACCAATGCAGCTGATTTTCCTACTGGCAAAAGTTGAATGTGACTTTTCATTTGATCGCAAGTTCTTTTATGTCGATTGTACATGCGTATGTTGTGTCAACATTTACTATATGCCAAAGCAGACATGGATTTGACATACTCCATAAAACACTTGGAGGTTCAACATACTATTACATGTAGATGCAAGGACCACATCTTGTAAGGCAAGACTTTACTGGACTCTGTTCTCCCTTTAAAAGTTTTAATGTTCTTTTGTTTTTTTGTTATGTTATGTAGAATTTAAAAAATGCAAACAAGTATACACTTGAAAATGGAATAAGCAAAGCAATAAAAAAACATCACAACTTAAGTTAAAGCGTTGCCCTCAAGATAGTTTAAAACCCTATCCATAGAGTAACTGAGTTTATTCCATTTTACATGTTCAGGGAAGGGCAAACAGCACATAAAACACCATTCAACAAAATCAATGACTTACATTAAATCATTGCGGCCCCATTTAACATTTTAAAAAAGAAGAGCCTTAAAGAGGTAGAATAACAAGCCATCAGAGCACTTTGGGATAAAATACACATCAAACTGCTCGGCACTACATGCATTGCACACCAACACAATGCCAATAGATACCTTGTTCATATATATATGTCAAGAGTGATTTTGCAAAGAGAGATCAGCAACTTCT